CCTACACCACCATTCCTGCAGCCCCATTGTCTCTCTTCTAAATGCAATTGCCTCCAGGCTTCTCATAATGACATTAATACCACTTTGCAATCTATGACACCTACCATCCAAGGACCTCAAAGTATTGTTGCATTAATCCACATTGTTCTATAATGATATAGCCATTATCTGCGTTTTAAGATAAGCCTAAGGAAAGTGAGGCACAGGGGCCAAGTGACTTGCCTAAGTTCTTACAGGAAGTCAGTGACAGCACTGGGAATAGGACCCAGCTCTCATGAATCAGTCCTGGCTTTCACCACAAGAACATTTTTCCTTCACTAGGTGATAGGATTTCAGAATCTGGCACGCACACACAAATGTATTTTGCCTCATCACTAATGTTGAAGTTTAGGACCTATCACGGTCAAGGATTTGTGAAAAAATTAGAAGATGTAAGACCACCCCCATCAAGGAAAAGCAATATAGAGGAGTCAAGAGTGTAACAGAGCAGAGTTCAGCCCTGTGTTTTTGGTGTATACGATACCTGGAAAAATACCCCGGTGAGAAGTGAAGCTTGGCTGAAGACAACATGCCAAAACTGAACTGACATACTTCTACCAGGAGCTGGCAACAGGTGTTTCCCCCTTCTCCACTGGTTGAACACTAACTACTTGGGGACTTTTTGGCAGGCATCTATCTGCAATGATGCCTACAAAAATCCTGACAATGGTTCGGCAGCTGGCAGGCTGTGACTCTATTTAACAGGGTAACCAGTATTGTCTGATTGTTGTATCCACCTGCTGTCTCCTCTTAGACTTTGATCATAAACACCTCTGTGCAGGGACTGTCCTGTGTTTGTATAGCACTTGCAAAGGGTCTCCAAAGGAACCCTAGGTGCTACCATTACACAAGTAAATAAAATAATGTAAGCTATGCAGAAAGCAAGCCACCAGAATTTTGGTTTTGCGCCATTTCCACTCTGCGTGGAAGTTTTCTAACGTTTGCAGAAGTTTTTGCAATAGCATGTAACAGTTCATGTAATTGGAGATTATCCTTTCTACTGAGGGATCCTCTCTAACAGTTAAAAAAAGCGGCGGGCTGAAAATGGGCGCTTGGAACTTCTTGCTCCCTAAACCTACTTCACTCTTTTGGAGGGTGGCTGGTACAAGGACATCATGGAACATGCTATTCAAGACTGCCCGAGATGGTTTTCTCTGTTTCCATGGTTATTTTCCTCCCCCACTGGGACTGGAGAGGATAGAGCCAAGGAGACTGAACTAGGGAAGGGAACAGGAAAGTAGGCCAAAAGAAACAGGGAAGAGTGCTGTGGATGCATGATGACAATCTTTTTCTTTCATTAACCTTGAATGATTTCTGCAAAGCAAAAATAAATAAATAAAGTCATTAAGCTTTGTTAGCAAGTAGAGCTGGCTTTAGACAGCCCAGTCATGTCCACATTAAAGAGTGCCTCATTAGGAAAGCTACACAGTTATCTTCAATCAAGCTTTCCAACCCCCTTTATGTACTATTCTTTCATAATATGATACTCGGAATTCTGAGCACTGCTCCAGCTGAATTTGCACTCAAATGGTCTAGACTCAAGAAATCTGCTTCAGAACAACTAAGGTCAGAGCCACTAAGGTCTACTGCTATGTATTTCCTTTGATTCTTGCTTTTGGCCAGCCTGAACAGGGCAAGATGAGAAACTGCTAATGCGTTTTTACCCATTCAGTGTATTTTTTTGTGCCCAACCAAGGACGAGAAACAAAAATATATCTTTTTGGTACTTCCCCTTGAAACCAGGAATTGAAGAGGTACTCAAAAAGGTCAGCACACTTAACTTCAAAGCTTCAAAACTCAATTGTGGTATTAGAATGTGTTGACCAGTCCCCAACTACAGATGTCTAATCTTTTCTTTCTAGTCCTACATGTCCTACTTATGACTATTAGCTTTTTAACCTACCATTAAAACCATAGAATATCAGGGTTGAAAGGGACTTCAGGAGGTCATCTAGTCCAACCCCCTGCTCAAAGCAGGGCCAATCCCCAATTTTTGCCCTGATCCCTAAATGGCCCCCTCAAGGATTGAACTCACAACCCTGGGTTTAGCAGGCCAATGCTTAAACCACTGAGCTATCTCTGCCCCCAAATATTTTTATGTTTCTGTCCACTTTACTTCTATCCCAGATTGCTCTTCTGGCCAGCATGTTGCAATTTGTAACCATTTAGACCATTAGGCCATTTTGGTTTACAATCTACATCAAATCTAAGCCATTCATCAGTCTGTGGCCTGTTTTTTTCCAGATCCTTTTGGATTTCCTCTTTATCTCACATTAGCCTGTCTGCCATTCTCATGATTCCTGCTGATTTCCATTGGTTGTGCCCTGCACCCTGTGCCACTGAATGAGATTATGCCAAAAATGCATCGGAGATATTACATATGCCAACTTCTCTCTCTTTCTCCATCTCCTGCTACCCTCTGACATCACTTACCAAGTCACTTTAAAAAAAAAAAGATAAATACCACTTTTTCTTTACATTAAAGGAAAGAACTTCAGTGTCAGTACACCTTAGGAAAATTTAATCTGTGCCTAGACAGTTCTGAATAGTAGCAACAGCAAATTGTAATGTTCCTTCTATACCTTAAGGGTGTGTGAGCACTCTGTCAGAGCATGTGATTCAGTAGAAAAATGTTCATGTGTCCAGAGAGAATTTTCTTCTTTCTGTTTGTATGCCTATTGTTGAGGCTACATGAAACAAGAGCCATCCCAGATGTGCCTCAACACAAAAGATAACTCTCCGATATTCTCAGCCTAAGGAAGCAGACAGGTGGCTCAATCACACAAAAGAAACCTGCCTATACAGACCACACAGCCATTTTATAAATCCAAGCTTCTTAAGAATCACTTCTCGACAAGCTACTGGATAGATTTCTCCCCTCTATACTATGCACTAATACTTCAACCTCATTGTCAATACGGCATATGAATGGGTAATAGAACTGGTTGGTGGCCAATGTGTCTTGGCAAATCTTTTAAAGATAATTTCTTCCAGTGAAAAGAAGGATAAAAATTAAGTGATATGATCTTGAAAGAGCATTTCTTAGACATCAAAAAGTAAGTATCAGTTCTCTAAAGAGATTCTTTAAACTGACACCAAAACACTTCTTTCAAACCTTAAATAAGCCTGATAGGGGAGCTAACAAATCTGGCTTTCCTATCATCGGTGTGGGATGACACCCCTATCATCCCAAATGTAACCATTTTAAACTATGGAAGGAAATCATGGCTATGGAGATGTCAATTTTTCCCTTGAATTTAGAGCCTGTGAAAGGTGGTGGAACAACAGTACTGGGTATCTGCAAAAACAAAAGGAAGACTTGTGGCACCTTAGATGAAGTGAGCTGTAGCTCACGAAAGCTTATGCTCAAATAAATTCGTTCGTTTCTAAGGTGCCACAAGTACTCCTTTTCTTTTTGCGAATACAGACTAACACGGCTGCTACTCTGAGTACTGGGTATGGTAACCGACTTAGATCAAGAGAACAAATACAGTTTGAGTAATGAAAAATAAAGATTCTCCTATACTGTCACAAGCAGCCTCAACCATGAGCTTATTTGATAATCTTCTTAGCACTAGAGGGTATTTAATCCATGTCCATTCGTTCCCCCCCGATGAAATTGCTAAAAGGAACCAATTGGTATTAACTGGAGGAGTCACCTATTGAAAAGATGCCTGACAATCAGAGAGACAGAATGGAGACCAAACTCCTCATTTTCCATGGCCATCCTGATCCTGAAATATCTACCTCGGTGTTCAAGAGAAGGAATGCTCAAGATACACTATGAGGCATGTTAGCTCATTAGCGATACCTCAGTGCTTCTCTTACATCTCTGGTGCTCTGCTGTTATTTTTTTAGTTTGCTCAGCTTGAGTTCTGGATGTACTGTGAAACAAACAGTTAAAGAAAAGAGATATGAGAGACCAAGATAAAACTGTATATAGTATTTGTAATGCAGAGGAAACAAGCGATACGAGATTCAAGATCAGTAGCCGGCTATTAATTCATGCTGGGGAAAAAATTGAAACAAACCAACAAAAAAAGCAGGGAGACATAATACAGAGAATTGAAGTAATTGTTTACCAGTGCTGGCTGCAATGTATAAAAGTGATGTTGGTTGTACGTAAAATTGTTTGGTGCAGTCTCGTACCCTGCGCATGAATTGTGTAACACTGAAAATTGCACAAAGTAGAGTAACAAACATTCTGGAGCTTTATCGGAGTCTTTTTAAACGACCTAGATTAACTGGAATCTGACAGCTTGTTGTGTGGGAGGTCAAAACAACTGGCAAATGACAAGCAAAGAGATCTGTAAAACAGGTGATGTGGGTTCAATACCAGGCTTCATTTGAAGTCTCTGGCATCAGCTGTTTTGGTGCCTGACACTTGGAAAACTGATGCTCTGTATAAGAGAATTAAGCCATGCCAAAGCCCTGAAATGAATATTCTGATCAGTAACTGGTCACCTGTTGACAAGGCTAGATAGATTCTATTCATTAGGGTTCATACTGAGGAGATACTGTATTAGCTGGTCAATAGGGTTCTTGGTCATAACATTGCTCTGTCTGAACTGATGTGCTTTCACTTAAAAGAGGCCTGTGTCCACAGATACCATTCATGGTGAACAATTAAAGAAGTTGTTTACCACAGAACTCATGGGGATTGACTAGCGATGCAGTGAAGATTCCCCAGCCATCACCCACAGCGCATTTACTCCTTTTCTACACGATAGTAATTGTGGAGATGCAACATGACATGGTTCAAATGGAGAGGTTTAATTTCAGAGCAGCACTTCCTCCCCCAACTCTCGTCTGTTTGTATAGTAGTTTAAACTTGTGCCCATTAATTTATTTCATGCAGCTTCCAGGGATCTGTGTATTGTTTTCTTAAAAAAATATTTGGTCAGCATCAAATACAGGAAACACAAGCCCCGACTGTATTACGAATAAACCACAACTTAAAATGACCAGGAAACATTCATAATTTTTAATTCACACCAGTAATAAAATTGCATTACATTTTTCATAAAATAAATGTTCCAGTTTATATACAGAAAACAGACTGTACAGAGCCCTCCCCCAGACCCCAAAAAACTCACAAACATACAGGCAATGCAGTGCTCAGCTAAGCAGGCACAACTGTACATCTAAATTTGTAACTGCTTTGTGTTGGGGCGGGAAAAAAGTACTACAATGTATATAGTCCTTTCTGGACCAAGAATTAAAAAAATATTGCAGGCAAGCTGACAGACGCCCCTCACTGCTTGTGCGGCTGAACGTCCATCCCACAGTGCTTCAGCAAAGCAGGGTTTGTTATTGAACTTGGGACTCAAAACTTCCATTCAGCTGCCCTTCCTCATAGTCCATCTGACACAAGATCATGTTGTTCTTCAGGAAAAATTTGTCTCCCACGCAAAATCTGAAACGTTAAAAAATAAAAGGTCACACATGTCTAAATGTTAGCTGGCACTAACCAGGTGGCAGTACGCTGAGGAAAAGATGACAGAGGATTAAGTCTAGAGGTAGTGGGTGCCCAGACGGAAAGGAAAAGTTATCTTCATTGTGAACTATGCTTCCCAGATTGGAATTTAGGGAGGCAGGATACAGCGGATAGGGCACTCGACTAGGAACCAGGCAACCAGAGTTCTATTTCTGGCCCTGCCACTGACCTCTAAGAGACCCAAGTCACTTCACCACGCTGTTTCCCTCTCCTACCTTTTGTCTGTGTTGTCTATTTAGACTTTAAGCTTTTTGGCGCAGAGGCTCTCTCATACTATGCATTTGAACAGTGCCTAGCACAAGGGGCCCTGATCTCTGTTGAAGCCTATAGATACTACTGTAATAATAATCCAACAGGAAAAGTGATGGAATATATCCCCAAATAGACATGAACTTTCAGAATTTACTGAAACCAGGAAGCAAACAGGGTATGTTACACAAAATGTTTGAAATGTTCTATGGTATTCAAATTTCCAGGTGAGGCAGTGTTTACACTAATTTACAGGCACCGAATGGCTATTAAGTCCTTCCTCACCCCCTTATGTACAGTGCTGAACAATAAATAGAAGTTTCTTGATGGATGGCTAGACTCAGTTAACCTTTATCTTCATGGAATGGAGCGTAAAGTTCTCTGTCTACCATGTAAATTGTTCTGTTTGTATTAAAGTTGACAGAGAGACTTGTGATATTTAACAATCTTATTTGATCATTAAGGTCAAAAACGTTGCACACAATACCTGAAAGGTACAGTTTGACAGCCACTAACCTCCTCACACCTCCTGTTTGCTATAGATGTGAAAGTTAATCTACAATTTTAGGATAATACAGTGCTCTTCATTGGTCTCCCATTCAAGGGCAGAGTCTGACTTAGCATGTGCCAATGGCATAACAAAGCAGGACATAGGCGAGACAGCTTCAGTGTCTTAAGCCAGTCCCACTACTTCAGGGCTGGTATAGGCAAAGCTGGTTGTGATGCGGATGGCCAGTTCTGAAAGGGAGATATATATGGTGCACCCATGCCCAGCCAGCCAGGAACTGGCAGATATGAACTTTAAAGAGGCAAAAACATCTAGGAGTTTGAGGGAGAAATATAGGCTCTACACAACATGAAGCCCATGGAAAGAGGACAACTTTTCCTCAGCAGTGTCATGAAGCCTTGAAAACATGCCCCTACTATGCATGGTTGTACAAGGGAAATTCTCTAGTCCTGGTCTGAAATATGTTCTAGGCCTGTGATTGTCAGTGGGTAGCTAGAGACTGTAAGCCTGCTGTCGGGCTGGATAGTTTGAGTTATAAGAGGAGTGTTCATCTGTATGAGACCTACCACATCCAAGCCCCTCTAGCACCTCATACAAGTTTTCCCCTAATGGATACCTATACGTCAGCTGATGCCTTGCTTAATTTGGCAGTTGGGTATGGCACAACCTTCTACAATGCCCTTAATTAGTATGGTTCATTGTGTGATTTAGCTCAGCACCCAGAGTCTCCTCTCCTAGCCTGCACCTGAAGCCCTCTTTATAGTAGTCTGAAATTCAGCGAGCTAACTTTTAACTTGTATTCCTGAAAAGAAACGAAAGCTGCTTCTTTAAGAGGAGACTCCAGTTAAAGCAGCATTGCACGTATTCTCCTGAAAGTCACAGCCTCACCAATGGGTTTGCTGACTATACAAAGTCCGTTAGCTAACATTTTCCAGACTGCAACTTAAGACACAGCTGCTGACTTTCTGCTACTTAATGTTCCTTAAAGTGTGACCATAACACCCAAGGGGCAGGGAAACAAAACGAAGTCACACCACCAACACAAATGCGGCACAGTCAACAGCTGCCTCTTGCCAAATCTAGCTGGGGTCTAGAGCAGCAGCGGGAGAGCTGGAAAGCGATTCGTAGGGTGTGGTAGAGCGCGGTCCTCTGAAAACCAGGCATTGTGGGGCCCCACGTTTGTCTCTCACAAAGTGCTCAATTTACAAGACAAAAGATGTTTTTCTCCAACTGCCAGCCCTGAAAACTCACCATGGACCCAGCAGGAAGCGGAGGGCTTTCCTTCTCATGCGCAACTACCAATCTAGCTTTAGCAGGCCCGCGTCACACCTCAAGCGTTTTACACCGGGGCAAACCCAGCAGTTTTCTGGAGGTTACTGTGCGAGGAGAAAGGAACCCAGCCTTCGCGCGGCGTGTGCCGAACTGTTAGAAAACCCCTATCTTACTGAGCGAGTTTCATCAGAAATCAGAGAGACACAAACACTGAACCCAGGATGCCATTTGTATAAAGTGTCTCTCAGAACAGAACCCAACACAAGAAAAAGGCAGGTGAACGGCGTGAAACATCTTAGAGTACTGATGAGTCAGCAGAGTACAGTGGTAAAAAGAAGATTTAGTAGTTAGGCAACAGCTACTTACCCTTAAAAAATGCAACATGAGTGAGGCCCAAGATACATTTTAGGAATCAGAGTGTTTCTGATGTCTGTTGGAGACGATAGCAGATGGAAATATTTCATACCTAACACTATTAAATAATGTATCATTTTGCCTTTTAAACCCCCGCCCCCCCACTGTGCTAAGAATGGAGCCTGGGACTCTGAAAAAGAATGGGGTAATACCAATGGATCCCAAAAAACCTACCCTGAGGACTTCGCCTGTGAGAGGCTGCTCACTATTATGAGTTTCGTCTCTGACTGGGGAGGGAGGTGCTGAATTCCTGCTAGCGCAGTCACAAAATGAATAGGTCTTCCAATGCTTTCCGGATAGCAATAAGGTATATCATATTATTATTAATATGAAGGTATAGCATATTAAATAATAAGGTATAGCATGTTAAAGACAGAATTAGAAATAAGACTACGCACCAAAACACTGGGAAATACAGTTTGTCTGCAAGAAACTACGCTCCCTGTCCAACACACCAACCACTAGATGTCACTATAACCTCAGTGGAATAACCCTATTAAACTGGGGACAGCTTGATTTATTGCAGCTGTCAGTATTAATAGGAAGGCATTCTACCCCCAAACAAATAATACCAGCTTTGTGTTTGATACAGTGCCTTCAATTAAAGCCACCCAAACTACATACCATGTGTCTGATTCTCCTCATACATCCACTGGTGGGAGTTGGGTGCAACTCCACAGACTTCAACCAAGTTATACTGATATAAAACAAGCGTGAGAGGAAAGTCAGTCCCTGTATTTTGATATGTTCTCACAAATCTAACATGAAAGCTAGAAAGGAGGTGTGAGCATATGCATGTGTGTAAATATCACACACACACAACCCCATATTGACAAATTCCAGAGTAACTGAATGTGATGTATCTTATTTTTAAGTAAAATATCAAGTATGTTAACTTGGCTTTGAAGTAACATGCTTTTCTCCCATTCAGTTTACTCACTCTTCTTTTCTTCCTCTTTTAAAACATGTCCCTTCACAAATAACAATTTCTGGTTCAACCAGCAGCCTAAGCAAGGAAGGGGAAGTTTTAAGAACGAACACATGCTTCAAAAAGGGAAACTATGCTGCATTTAATGCACTCAGCTTCCAAGAGGAGAGCTCAATCTTCCGACAGCTACACCAAATCAAGAGAAAAGCATGCCCTAAAATCTTTGCACAACCCTCCTCCCACAATTCAGTCTTTTATAGATACCAATGAGTCAGGCTGAATCCGTATGTCCTTTCATTGTACACTTTGATATATATTTTTCTGTGCATCTTCCAGTCAGGTACGGTACAGCCCCATTTAAAATTACCCCACAAGCAGGCCCTGTTGCTTTTGCAGGAAACTGAAGAAAGCACTTCGCAGTCTCCAAAAGGGCTTACCTAGAATATATTTCTCCTTCGTACCCTCCTCACTTCTGAGATGGTCAGAAGTCTGATTTAAGTAACTGTAAGTTAGAAATACTTGTGCAAGAGAGGGTCCTATCTCTGTCTATGGGTGTTCAGCAAACAGGTTAGATGCTGAAAGATCTCAGAAGCTGTTCATTCAGTTGCATTACAACTATTTCAGAACAGCTGTCTGCTGCTTACAGTGCCTGGATCTGCAGTCTTCCCCCTGCAACCCCAATTCCTACCGGCTCCACCAGGCCCACATCCTCGAAAAGGTTGCAGGACAGACCCAGTCTATGTAGGCAACTACAAATAAGACAACCCAGCCAGCGCTAGCAGCTTCTTGGCCCCAGAGAGGTGGCAAAGATCAAGCAGATTTCCTTGGTCCGTTGGCAAAAATAAAAAAATAGTTTGTGGGGTTTTTTATTTCTGTAATAACTGTGTCCTCACCTCTGGTTGCAGAGTTGGCAGGCAAAGCAGTCCAAATGGTAAACATTATCTCTGGCCCTCATCACCATCTCAAAGGCAGGGATCAGTTTACTGCAGGCAGCGCAATTCCCGGTGGTACCAAAGAGCCTGCCAAAGAAGCACAATCATTAGAAGCCATTTTAATTAAATGGTGGAAGCACTAATTAAGTGTAATTAGCAGTATCAAATACTGTATTGCACCAATAGGAGTTGCACTATCCATTTCGGTGACCAACCAGTGTGCAGGAACTTGGGATAAAACTGCCTGGTGAGCAAATGCCGATTGTCGAGATGAAACTTCACTTGGCTTGTGAGCCTTGGGCTAATTTACTATCTAATGGAGAAAAGCATTAAAGACACTTACATTGCTATTCTGGGGCTCTCACAATTTCAGTCAAAACAAAAACTATTTGCAGGGTTTGTTCTCTGAACATCTTGCTTCCTTCCCCACCCCACGCAGCACCCATTTGCTCTTCATTGTTGCCTTATGGAGGAATCCAAGCTGATGATAATGAGCCAGTTATAATGGGTGAAATGCAGAAGACTCATTAACTTTGCCAACTCTGGCAGGCAAAGCTGCAGCTGGAGAAAAGTCTAACTTACCTCCTGTTTTAAAGAAACACACTTATCTAAAGACAACTGGCAATAATGTTTTACAAAGCCACTTCATACATTATGCTATGACCTCCACCCTCCTCGACCTTCCTGGGAACCAACTAAACTTCTTACATTGAGGCACAAATACTACAGTCAACTGTTCACTTCAGCTCCCCAGTCCTTGAGGATAACCCTTCTGCACTGGAAGCTTTGCCACTGTTGTCATGGTTTTTGCCATCTCCCTTCCCAGATGTCTGCTGCTCTTACAGCTCCCACAGGGAAACTAACCAAGAGCTACGACATCATCCCCTGCAGCCCTCAGACAAGTCCCGGAAGACCCATGAGCCAGTGCCACTCCCTGATGACAGGCATGACAGCACTTCTCAATTAGAGCTATAGGAACCAGTTGGGGATGCATGCAACAAACTAAAGATTTCAATCTTAAACTGTGAATAGTCAATATACACTTAGTTACTTTGTTTAAGAGAATGCATGTGATTGAATTGTTCTCAGACCTATGTGGAAGGCACCTTCTTTCAGCTGATTGTTAGTTCGGTGTGCATGTACCGAAGCTGGATCTTGCTAATGCCAGTACTTGCTAGTTCCACCAGTACAAAGAGGCAAAAAGCATAGAGAGAACTGCTTGTAGTCTGGCAGAGGAACACCTAGGTCTGATTTCTCAGCCCACAATTTGCTGAACCAGTCAATGCTACTGATCACTGGACAGTAATAACTGAAGTGTGATAAGATCTTCAAGATAACCCTTTTGCTCTCAGGCTTCTTAGCAATCATGTGAGCTTGTTTTTGGCATATTAAAGTCTTACTTCTTGTGTCAGATGTTAAAAGAGACACCTATTCCTTTTCTGTTATTCTTGGCTTGAAGGCCACTGGACTGTTTTCGTTGGGAGGAGACTAGACATTTGTCTTGGACACTTAACCAAAAAAAAAAAAAGGCTGTGGTACAATGGGCAAAACAGAAATAGTACCAGACGCACAGCGATGTAAAATGTAAACACTCTTGCCCTCAGACTTCACCACATTAGGGCTGGAGAGCCTGTACCACAATACACTGAGCAAAATGGCAAAGAGTTTAAATAAATCTTACAAACGAACACAACGCAAATGGCAACATATTCGGCAAGGGCAGGATGGTGGCCTGCTCTTACGATAGCAGGCGAGCCAGCCCTTCACTTTCCTGCATGGGCTCCCCACATCATGGGTTAGTGTAGGAGATAGAGAAGCAGCCTTCAGAGGGCTGCTGCTCCCAGTCCTAAAGAGGTGGTCAGGGACACTGCAAGAAAGGGCATGTTTTATTATGGACCAGTAGCAGACGGAGCAAGGGGGTGGTGCCAGCAGAAGCTCACAGTTCCCTCCCTGGAATGCTCCTGGGCCAGCATAGCTACAATGCCCTGGTATTCTGGATGGGGTGCCAATTTATAATCTAGCCCCAAATTGGTATTTTCTGATTCATAGTCATTTTACTTGGCAAAACAAAAGTGTCGCTATCACTCCTTGATGTAACCATCTTCCATCGTATAAATAGAATACCCTTAGTACAGTAGCAGAAGTCATTAGTTTCAATTTCTCTATTTGATAGAGAACTAGCAGATTAGGAGAACAATGACGTCTGCATTTTTAGAACATCCAAATCACAGCAAATGTTAAAAAAATGACTTAAACTAAAACAAAACCCAAGCAAAGCCGCCCAATATATTAGGTAAGAACAACAGTGGAAGTTAATCCTGAATTTGTTCTGTGCACAATGCCACTATTCTTGTGAGCGTAAAATATCCATTATTCATTATCACAGTTGTGCGGAGCTCAATCTAGATTAAATAAAATAAAGGGGCCCCAGACAGAGTTATTTGCATTGTTAAATGGGCATTTTTCTCCACCCTTCAAATAGGATGTTTCTCTACATGGAAATGATGGGGAAGTTTGGGCAGATGTTCAATTAACTGTTTAAACAGTTAGCTTAAGAAACATGAAGATTGTATTTGGCGTTGGATTCACCTGTCTCTTTTCAGGGGTTGGGGAGTAAACCAAGTGTTAAACAGCTTTTACTGTTTGCATAAGAGCTGCAGTTTATGTTTTGTCCAGCTGAAATTATGTTGCCTTTTAATGTCTACATAAATGTAGCTCCCAGTTTTTCAGTGTGCTAATCGTGTTCTCTTCCATTAAGTCCCCATCTTCCTTCCCTAACATATGAACATTTCACACACATTCAAGCACTTTCAAATTTTAATCACTTTTCCGGGAACAATTTAAAGCTCTATATAGTCACTAAAATTCTCAAGTATGCCTAACGTGTAGCTCAAAGATCACAGGCTTTTTGCTGTTGGAAGAAGAGCAGATTGAGGCAAAGAAGAGATGCATTCTTCACCTAAGAATTTGTTTTTTGGCACGTCCAGCTGTCATGCTCCATACCTCCTCACTTGGCGATCACACGAGAAGAAGTCTGGGGTTTTGTTTTTTTTAATTTTGGGGGCGAACTTTCTTTCACCATCAATACATCCCATGGTTTAGTTTAAAAAGAAGCCACAAAAAAGGAAACACATACTGCACCCTCTGGATGCACTCTCCATAGTAAATCCAATCTTGTCTCACACACTGAGAAAGCTCAAGCATATCAGGAAAATATACCATAAGATCCTCAATATTCTCACTGGCATGACACCACTGGGAGAAAAAAAGTCAGAGACAAGGAAGGTTTTTTAATCTCTTTTTAAAACTTTTAAAAAGTTGAAGACAGCAATTTTTAAGTACAGATTTATTCTCTCTCATGTAACAGAAGGACCTCACCAGCTTGTAAATAAGCTTAGACTATGCAGATTTAAAATTTAACACAATTAAACTTTTACCCTGTGGTAGCAATTATGTTTAATGGCTCTTACTCTGAACTTAACCATGTCTATTGTCGTCAGCCAATCTGAAAGCAGAAGTTTAGCCAAGGACAATTTTCTGTAGTTTATAGGCACACTAAAATCCAGCTATTCTATATTCCGATTAGCTGTTGATGTCATTGTGTATAGTGAAAATTAAAGCTAATTGGCACACAGGAGCAGCAGTGAATACAAATGAATTGAGGGAAACGGGGGGAGCACTCTGTGGAAGTCCTATGTAACTGTTGGGAGGCTTCTTTTTATTTGAAGATTTAGCTGCTTGTAACAGTCATCTTCTGTACAACGTTTTGGAATTCAGCAATGCTGTGGAGGTACTTTAAACTGACTAACTATATGATAGGGGCATAATTACCCAGAGTTTACCTTTTTATTTTTTTAAAGGGTCTGAGTGAGGGACGTATAGTGGCGAGCACGTGAAAGGGAGGGACTTGTCTAAAAGTGACCATCTCCCCCATCATTTTAAACACATTCTGTATTTCCTATTTACACTCATCCCTGATGAACAAACATTAGATTTGTACGCCTTCCATGAATCTTCCTTCTCACCCCACTCACATTCACGTATGGTCTAAGCTATATGAGAATCTGCACATCTGTTTCGTGATCTCTAAACCTACAAACAGTATCTACAAATGGATTTCTAAATACCTAACAAGAACAAGATTGCCCTCCAGCCTGGTATTTGCAAACCAGCAGCAAGTCAGTCAGGGGCCAGAAAACTCTCCCATGAAAAGAGACTGAAAAGATTGGGGCAGTTCACTTTAGAAAAGAGACGATTATGAGGGGATAAGTGTATATAAAACACAGAATGGGATAGAAAAGGTACATTGGGAGCTTCCTTTCTCCCTGCTGTATAATACGAGAAACAAGGAGGACATTCAGTGACGTTAAAGAGGTGGCAAGTTCAAAACAGATAAAAGAAAGTACACTTTTTCCACACAAAACAATCAGATGGTGATAATTGTTGTCACAGGATGTTTTTGAGGCCATGAATTTAGTAACATTCAAGAAGGGATTGGACATTTATATGGATACCAAGAATATCCAGAGTTATAATAGTTAAACACTAGCAGATTTTAGAAGAGAGTGAACCTCATGCTTAAACCAATCACTAATTACTAGGGATTATGTGGTTTCAATATGAGACCATTGCCTACCATGCTAACCAATATGGTCTCATTTTTAACTTGTACTCCTCTAGCTGTTCTGTAATCATTTGCTATTATCTTATATTTAGATGGTCATCTCTTTGGGGGCAGAGACCACCTTTGTTCTTGCTTGTACAGCACCTAGTACAACAGGGTCTATGATTAGGGCTCCTTGGTACTTCTACAATAAAAGTGATGATAATCGCTATAATAAAATTCTTGCACCTTCCTTTGAAGCATCTCATGCTGCTGCTGTCTGAGACTGGATACTGGTTTAGATGCACTCTGGGTCTGATCCAGTGTGGAAGTTCCTATGTCCATTTCTTGTACCTTGAATTCATAGTTACGAGAAAGAGAGCCTTGTTCCTACCAGTTCAAAAAACGACCTTCCAGCAAGTTGGACTTGAACAACTTACATCAGTGTTTGTTGTCAACTGCATGCGACAGAGTTCGAACACAC